TCATTTAGTCACAGTTCAGAGTTACAACAGCACTGAAAAAAGTGACTTATAACCATTTTTCACACTTACAACCATTGCAGCATACCCAGGGTCATGTGATCAAAATTCAGATGCTTGGCAACTGGTTCACATTTATGACAGTTGTAGAGTCCCGGGGTCACATGATCACCTTGTGCGGCCTTCTGACAAGCAAAGTCAATGGGGGGGGGGAGTCATGTTACTAACATAACAACTGCAGTGATTCATTTAACAGCTGTGGCAAGAAAAGTCACAAAATGGGGCAAAATTCACTTAACTAATGTCTCACTTAGCAACAGAAATTTGGGGCTCAGTTGAGGTTGTAAGTCAAGGATTACCTGTAGTGACATTGGGTCTTAAACAGCTTTGCAAGCGCTGCTATTTATTATTATTTTTTTGTAGGATAGCCAAGACCAGGGGTAGGCAACCTTGGCTCTTTTATGATTTGTGGACTTCAACTCCCAGAATTCCTGAGCCAGCCATGCTAAGGGGAAAGGGAGAGGTTTCCAAGCTGAACCATGCTGGCTCAGGAATTCTGGGAGTTGAAGTTCACGAGTCATAAAAGAGCCAAGGTTACCTACCCCTGGCCAAGACCCTCAAATGGTTGGAAAGTGGCCTAGTATCACTCAGTCTCTGAGAGGTCTTAGTGAAAATGTAAGCCCAATGAAAGCAACCAATTTTTTCCTCTCAGGTAGTTGCTGCCTACATGGTGAACAGAAATTCAACTGGTGAAGGCTCGCCTGCTGTGAGAAAACATGCCTCCTGTTGAATTTTTGGATGTCAAACTACTGAAATTTTGCAGGAAAATATGTTCAATTTTGTAACTGATAATCTGTCTGGCTTTGGAAAAAAAACATTTTTTATCATAGCAAAATCATCAGTGCCCATGTTTAGCAATTCCTGGGTAACCCACATTGCTTTTGTGAATTTAGATTTTTCAATTAGGGCATAGATTAAAGTGTCTGAACCAAAATAGTTTCCATAATTACATTATGATTTTTTTCCTTTCATTTCAGCAAGCTGTGCTTCCTAAGGCTGTAAGAAAAGCTGCATTATCACTACAGGCTGGCTGTAGAAAGGCAATATTACGTGGGATATTAGAAATACTTTCGGACATTTCAGCAAAAGAATCAGTCTGGTAAGAAAGAAATAAAAGTTCACCATAAAAATTATATCTGAAGTCTGCCGTGCCTTATTCATTTTCCTTGAGAAAGTTCAAATATTTTTCAGGCCAAGATTTGCACCAGTCTGCGCTGCCATGTCTTCCATGATTAGCATGTGGGCTTGTGTGAACACAACTATCTTAGCATCCTGCTTTTTCTGAGGAGGTTTAATCAAGCTTAAGGTCCAAATGCAATATTTGCATTCAAATTATGCTGAGAAAAATGAGTTGATGTTTTGTGTGCGCAGTCTTGCTTTTTCCACACTCTTTTAGTATAAAGAATGTTTACATGTTTATTTTGGAGAAAAGGAAAATTATAGCCAGCAGATGAATTAAGCAGGAATCCACTTAGTGTTGACGTTATACATGTATAAACTAGTCCCTGTTTAAGGTATGGAGGTTGGAGAACATCAGAAATAAACAGCAAAAGTGAGAATGTGGTGTGGCTTAGGTTTACTCATGAACAGGTCTTTTTCCTTTCTTCATATCAGATTTACCTTAACATACACAGACTGGCTGCCTGCCTGCCTATTTGTCTAATGATTGATCTATGCAAGATCACAAGATATGGAGAGACCTGGCCGATAGAATCACCCAGAATTGGACAGGACTGAATGGATAACATCATCATTTACATCCATCTAACGGTCTGTCTGTCTGTTTGCCTATCTGTCTATCTATCATATTTCTGAACTGCCCATCTCCCTCAAAGAGAGAGGTATATTTATATACATACATACATCTCGGGAACTGATGCTGCTTTTCTCCTGTGCCAGGTGGAACAGCACCAATGAACTCCTGTGAGGCTCCCATGAACTTTCTGGAAGAAGGTGGATTGGCTGAACAGTTTCTTCACATTGAGCGAGAGCAGATAGTCCGCCTGAATGCTCTCAGCTTTCTTGATCCTGTCCACTATGTTTACAACCCTTTGGATTATGCCTGGGAGCCCCATCAGGACTATGTACGTAAATATTGCCATTCCCAGAAGGAGGTGCTCTTTCTCGGGATGAATCCCGGGCCTTTTGGCATGGCTCAGACTGGGGTAAGCAAACAACCAAGTCTGGGGCTGGGAAGATAAGGGTTACAAAAATAGAACTGAATATGCAGCAAAAGATGGATTAGGATTGTGCATGTATACCGAATGCCCCTGTATATGCCTTCAGCTCAGATGGAGCTCAGATTCAGCTAATCTACCCTAATCTGCCTCTTCTTAAAGAAAACTCCTTAAGAAAAAAAGATTATTGCCTTCAAAGGGGTCTCTTTCATTGTCCAGTTCTTGCACAATAATTTTTAGTCTATTCCCCCCCCCTTGCAGTTTGAATTGATTGATTTGATTTTTTACAAATAAATTTGCTCCACTTTCTTCAGGATAGCTATTTAAATAGTTGAAAATGGCAGTGGGAACCTTTAAAATTTCCTTCTTTAAGATACTAAAGGTAGCCAACTCTTTCAACTTTTCCTTAAAATCTTTTTACCTATCTTTGTTTTCTCAATTTCTAATGGAAATGTAATTTGTAATGTATCTGTGTAAAGCACAGGTAGTTTATTGGAATGAGCAGAAGGAAGGGCCAACAAGGAAGAAGTAGAGGTTAAAAAGAAACTTGCTGGGATCCTTCTTTACAGTAATCTTTTCTTCCTTGAAGTTGGGACTGATATTAATTGTAGTCCAACTCTTGGGATCTACCATTCTCTTTGAGTGCTAATCAAATAAACTCAGATGAGAAAGAATTATATGCATACTGAGTTAGTACTGTGTTCCTCTCTGTGTCTAGCACAGAGGTGCAATAGGCTAGTACCTTTTGTAGTCCTTTTTGCATGGCTGTACTAGCAGGAGCAAGTCGATGAACGTGAATGGGTGAGAGAGTCAAGTATGGCTCTACTTTTCTCCCATTCACAATAGTCTCAGCCCTACTTTGTTCATTCTTATAGGAAATACTCCAAGTAGGTGTATATAGTATGTAGTAACATAAAAAGTTTAGACCCTCTCTCACAGATTACTGAGTCCTGAAAAGTATCTTTATTGTAGTGAGGTTATTGTAGTAAAACATCTCATACAGAAGATATTTTGCTATATATTTTTTTCTGCAGAAGGTCTGTACCTGTCCATATTTCTGGCTAAGTGGGTTTTTCTTGTCTCCCCAATTTACTATATGTGACATGTATCTGCATTTATTGTCTCCTCCCACTGGTTAGCACCTAGACAGATAATTCAGTTTCTGCTTTGATGCTATGCCAGGAAAGGAAATGGGTAGAGAGTTGATAAGTATGGCAGAGTGCTTGTTGAGATACTGTGATTTAAACATGTGTGAGTGTACGTGTAAATTGACTGATTGTTCTCTGAATGTCAGAAGCATTTAGCGCCAAAGAAATGCCTTCTGATTTTCTTTACAAAGCAGTTTTAAGTACAATTGTAAATTTACCCCTTATTCTATGGTTACAATGTAATTCTCTTCTTTTTATAATCTACTCTATCTAATCATCAAAACCATAAAACCTTAAGTTTGCCCTAAGTCAAGGGTAGGCAACCTTGGCTCTTCTATGACTCGTGGACTTCAACTCCCAGAATTCCTGAGCCAGCACTGACTCAGGAATTTTGGGAGTTGAAGTCCACGAGTCATAAAAGAGCCAAGGTTGCCTACCCCTGCCCTAAGTCCATAAGGGGTTTTCAGTCAGCAATAAACATAGATACTGTCTTTTCCTTGAATGAAGAAGTCATTTTAGCCATCTCAGCAAGTTTCGTCATCTTCACCTCCATTGTGGGTGATGCCAAATCATCCCATCTGTGTGCGCATAATAATCTCACTGCAGTTGTCCTATACAAAAACAAAGTTCTATGACTTTTTTCTGTCAAACACTCCCTCCCCCCAAAAAACCCCTTCTGGTCTCAATGTTATATTAATCTTTAAATTCCTCTGAATCAGAGTGTGTATTTGAATCCAAGTTTTTCCAGTTATTTTTACACCTCCACCGAATAGGATAAAATGCCCCTTCTTGGTGTTCACATTTCCAATAGAAACATGAAGTGCCTTTCCACATTCTGGAAAAATTCTCTCATGATGTATATTAGTAGTAAATCATTTTATAAACATTCTCTTTAAGATTGTAAATTTCAGTCCTTTCAACCACTTTTTTCCCACTTCAGCTATACTGTATATTATAACCAACATTTTAGTCCATACATTTTTCCACTTGCTCTTCTGTTTCAAATTTCAATAAAATATGTTTAGCAATTGCATGTTCATCATTTGTACACAATTCTATTTCAAATTCAGTCTTACAATGTTCAAAACCATAAATTCTTTGGTCCACTTTAAATTTTTCTAACAACTGTAGATAGGTCACAGGGGTAGGCAACCTTGGCTCTTTTATGACTTGTGGACCTCAACTCCCAGAATTCCTGAGCCAGCATGGCTAGATAGGAAAACCATTAGCAACTAGATCCCTCTGCTACCAATTCTTCTCTTGATTTTATTTTATACCCCCCATTGAAAAAATTCTAGTAACTCACAGTAAGTTGGCCATTCATGTTTGCCTATTATATTTTTCATATAAAATGTGTCTTGTGATGAGAGCCACAAAAGTGTTTTCCCTGAGTTTGTATCTATCCCATATTCTCAGTATAGCATATCTAATGTAAGGATTTTTAAAATCCACGTTAACCTTGACTTTGTCATACGACAAGTATCCGTGCCACTCAAATTTCAGGTCATGTCCTTCTATTTCTCAATAGCACCCACTCTTTCATCCAAACCAAACAGCAAGCTGCAAGATACAGTTTCAAGTCAAGTAGGCCCAATCTTCCTCTTTCCTTTACATCTTCTAACACCTTATATTTAACTTGTGGGGTTTTTTTGTCCTGCCACACAAGTTTAGATATATCCTTCTGCCACTGTTTAAATGGTACATTGGTTTTCAAAACAGATATTTTCTGAAACAAGAATACCATTCTAGTTAAGACATTTATTTTTACCACAGAAATTCTCCCCAGCAATGGCAGTTGTAGTTTTTGTGGTGTTAACGTGTCTTTTTAAACTTAATTCCATAATGTAGTTGTTTTGAAACAACGCAGTTCGATCTGTCATGATGATAATCCAGATATTTTACATTCTTCTCGGTTTTAAAACCTGCTTTATTCATTAGTTCTGTTTGATTTTCCATTTTATTATTTTTGTTAACGTGTTTGTCTTGTAATCTTGAAACTTGCTAAAGCATACAATTATTTGAATTTGCCCATTAATGTTTTATTTCCCTTTAAAGGATCTTCCAAAACAAACATAAACTCATCTGCAAAATTTAACTTATAAGCTTTTTTTAAAACTTTACTCCCACAGTCCTCTCATCTTGTTTTATAACTCTTCAGTATTTCAAGAACCAAAATAAAGGAGAGAGGAGACAGTGGGCATCCCTGTCATGTTCCTTTTTTATGATTTGTGCTTTCCATGAAGTGTAAATTGATTTTACCCATTTTACCCTCTCCAAAATCCTTATCTTGCAAATTTTGAACAAGAAAGCCCAATTCAAAATGTCCAAGGCCTTCTCTGCATGCATGAAGATCAACGTAGCTTGTTTTTCATTATGTTGCTCCAAATATTCCAAAATGTTCAGCACATTTCTAAGATTGCCCTTTAACTAACTTTTTAGGTAAGAAGCCACACTTGATCCACAAGCATAAATTCTTGCAAAAGTATTTTCAGTCTATAAGCTAGAATCACAACTTGCTATCATTATTCAATAACAATAATCTATCATTTCTTGTTAAAATCAGATCTTGTCCCTCTTTAAGCATTAGTGCTATACTGGCGTCTTTTCAACTCTTTAGCATGGTTTGTCCCTGTAAGATTATGTCATTGCCTTTTATAAAACTTGTAAAAGTTCATCCTCAGAACATTTATAATAAGAGCCTGATAATGCATCTGGTCCTTCCACCTTGGTTTAATATTTCTTATAGCTTCAGAAACTTTCCTTATAATTATAGGTCCATTCACGATCTGTCTCTATTTCTCTGTAACCCTCAATAAATTTTATTTCTTTAAATATTCATCTATTTTTTTCCAAAGAAATGTTATTTCTTTTATACAAGTTGAAATAATATTGTTGAAATAATATTGATGAAATATTTTTGTTTAGCATTTATATTAATGGGATATCCATTAATAGGGTATCTCTCTCTTATAATTTCAATATTAGTTTCTCCTTTCCTTTCCTTTCCTCCTTTCTTTTCCTTTCTGTAATTTATATGCCAATCCTTTCCCTGATTTATTTGCAAACTCAACTTTTTTTCCTTTACACAATTCATTTTTATTTCCATTTCTCTTACAATACTGTTAACATTTCTTTTCTGTTAACTTCTTCGTATCTTTTTTCTTTCTTTTCTATTTTCTTTTTCTCTTTTCTTGCACTTTTAACTTTCTCTTCAATTTCTTTTCCTTTTTTCCCTTTCTTTATATTAGTTTTATCTTCATTTTAAATATATATATATAAGCATTTAGCCCCCAAAGTGTAGTCTATACAATGCAGCTAAAAACCAATGGGAGATTCACAAACCCACCTTTTCAGTGTTCATGAAATTTGCATCCAGTGTTGTATAGGAGCATAGGAATTATTGCTAATTCTGTTTTTAGGTTATTCTTAAATAACCTAATTTCAAATAGTTGTCTTTTTTTCATCTTTTGCAGAAACCAAACAGACCTTGGCTTTGCTATTCTTTTCCATAAACCCCCTCATTTTTAAAAGGAGACAGATAGGTATCTTTGCTACAAGTGGAAAATACATTATTTTCTAGCCAAACCTTTTCTCAAATGCAAATTTCTGGATCAAGTAACATCTGAATTTCAAATCAAATCAAATTCTTCATTACAGATCAATGATCCAGACTAAATAAAACTTACTAAATAAAATCTACAGATTAGAGCTACAAGGTGGAACAAAAAAAAAAGCTACAGGGTAAAGGATTTATATTCATATTTGCACTATTTTGCCATCAGCAATATACGAATGTTACAAGCTAAGAAAACAAACTGTGCAACAGCAAGAGTTACCTTGGGGTCCTTGCTTATTACTAAGAATTGCATCTGAAATTCTTCAGTCTGTTCCAAAAATAGAATTACAAGAGGTGTTAGGATCTCTTTGCGTGTGTATCAGTTGAAATTACAATCTAAAAGAAGTTCCTGTTTCAAATCAAGCCATCATTACAGTGGCAAAGCCTTCCCACATATGGAATTTAATATCTGATTTTGTGATTCTAATTTCTCAGAGGTGCTATGAACTCACGTTAGCTCTTGTTATCAGAACTTAGGTGCTCATAGTTCAACACCCCAAAACCCTGCATATGTGCTTTGTGCATTCAGTTTAAAGACACACACTCAATCTATGCAGATAAGCATATTTTGTATCACTGGGGACTGACTCATCTACCAATTTAGATTTCTTTCAGCTACAGTTTTATTTTCCAAACATCCATTTGTCTTGTTCTAATTCAACATCAGTTTGTAATCTTGTCTTTTAAGAAGTCCTCTCCAAATTCCTTACTTGGTTTTAGGATTATTTACTGAAGCATATATTTTCAGACGAATTGTGCAATGTTTTCTTCCCCTAGTATAATATTTGCAATAAAACCCTTTTGTATGCACTGCATTGTTTCTACAGGGTCTACCTTTTTATTGGTAGGGAAGTAAAATTCACAGAAGAGCTGATACTTCCAGATAACCTTTCGAGGTTTGCTTAGTTAAGAAAGTATGTTAGATGAGTTCACAATAAAATGTGAACTAAACATATTTGTTTCCTGTATCTAGATCCATTTAGTACTGGGATTCCCACCTTGACACTCCTTTACGCCAGTGTATCTGAGAGAATTCTTACTCCAAAAATATTTAAATATAATTTTTTTAAAAAAAATATATATTTTTTTCCTCTTACTTTAAATGTGTCCTTTTGGAAGGCTATCATGAGAAATCCCCGTAGTTTTCTTGTCAAGGTTTTTCAGAAGTGGTTTGCCCTTGCCTCCTTCACTGTCTCCCAGTTTCTAACCTGATGCCTTAACCACTACACCAGACTGGCTCTCTAGTTTAAAGACTACCTTCTTTTTAATTTAAAAAAAAAAAAAGAATTTAGCATTCTGTAAGAGAAAACACAATCCAGAATGCTTTCTAAGAATGCCTGTGGTTTTCACATAGACTCCGTAGCAGTTGGACTGTTTTAAACGCACATCATCTAACCTTTGCACAAAGACTGGGAGTAAGTGAGGAGTTCATAGACAAAGTCTGTGGAGAAGGTAAGTTGGAGCAAGAATAGCAGTGAGCAGTTCCGTCCATTTGCCATTTAGCAAATCAGATGCCATAGCAGTTATTTTATGAATGATAAATTCCTCACAGGAGACATTTTCTTTGATTATCTTAAAAGTCTGAAATGAGTTCAACTGCCCCCCCTCCAAAGGATGGCACCCTGATCTAGTTCAACACTGCAGGCTGATTGGCCGCTGTTTCCAGGGGTTCAGACAGGGAAGAGTCCCAGCCTTGCTTGTAGCCGCCAATGATAAAACCTTAAGGCCTTCCTTAGAATTCCCACATTGTTTAGGGGAAGTCATGACAGCTAAATTGGTTTGAGTCCAATATAAATGCTGGAGCATAGATATTCCTTGGCTAGCATCCTAGTACATGTCATCTTTAATTATATGTGAGAAAGGTTATGGAGATGAAGGGTCTTGTATTACAGGAACCTCTGGAGGCTCCGTGCATTGTAGGCATAGAAACACCCTATATCTCCTCTCCATATGCTCCTATTTTGGTTTTAATGATCATTTAGAAAAGTATACAGCTCACTTTCAACAACAGCGTTCTCCATGTAGTCTGCAAACCTAAAACAGAAATAGTGCCGCGAAACAGCAAAAACAAACCTCACAATAACAGAGGAAATTTAAGCCAAAAGGGAACAAGACTGTAAAGGCCTGGGAGAACTTTGGCAAATGCTGAAAGGTTAATGGTAGACATTAAATGGGGTTTCCTGGAAGAGGACTTTGAAAGGTGGGGCACTCCACTGAAAAATGGCTCTTATTCCAGTCCCCACCAGGCTCCCTGTGGATGATGAGGGCCCTGAGAGAAGAGCTTCAGTGAAACCATTATCCCCGGATCAAAGTCAGAGGGAGCAGCAACATTAATGTACAACCACATCAATAACACATTAAGCCTATTGTCTCCATGCTAATTGAGACCTGGGAGTTCTCTTGAGACATAATAATAGTTGGGGGCTCAGAGAGGTGCACTTGGAACCATTTGCTAATGCTTCAGAGAGGCATGGAAAGGGCATCTCTCAACTTCGCCTAGGATTCCTGTCTTTCTATTGTTATTTATTTATTATTTTATTATAACTGCTGTTCTGAACCTTTCTTTTTTTAAAAAAGAAAAATAGTGAACATTGTCCGAAACCTGTTGCAACAAAAGTGCAAAGTGAAAAAAAAACAAAACACTTTGCTATAGAACTGAGATCCTCGGTGGGTATATCTGTTCTTTGCAACATCAGACATGTCCACTAAGAGCTTGGATGAATTGAGTCCCCCCCCCCCAAAAGCTTCCATTTAGTTTAGCAAGCACCACTCTGGAGCCTTAATTAGCTCTGTGGAATCTGAGCTGCTTAGCCAAACACAGCCGTTGGCCGGACCTCAGCTATTTCATTGTTTCCAACAAACCTCTATAGCTAGTTGTCCAAAGGTGCTTTTTCAGGAGGCAACTGCACTTTCTCTTTTTTCCTTTGAAGACGTTTCGCTTGTCATCCAAGAAGCTTCTTCAGCTTCTTCAGTGGAAGAAGCTTCTTGGATGAGAAGTGAAACGTCTTCAAAGAGAAAAAAGGAAGTCCAGTTGCCTCCTGAAAAAGCACCTTTGGGACAACCACGACTTCCACAGAGAATTTGAGAACCTCCATAGACCTCTATAGCTGGTGTTTTTCAAACTGCTCTAGAGTGAGATAGGAGAGTCCACTAGGCATTGTCCATTTTTCAGTCCGTTCTGGGCCATCTTTACAGACCCAAACTGAGAAATGTAAATGCGAGAACAATATGCTGACGTTCACAGGATGTATAGGTCTTTTTACTTAGATACGATGATGCTGACTACCCAAGCTGGTGAACTCCAAGTGTGTTAGGACAGCAGCTGTTGAAATACCTGGACAGCACACATAAATGTTCTTGAGATGTTTAAATGGGAAACAACAACCAAAAGTGTTGAATAAAGAAAAATAGAATATTGTGTGAGATGTTGAGAAATGATAGTCCAACGTGTTTTGCATGTTAAAGCTGAGCTACAATATTAAGCTACACTGTATTTGGTGAGATCACAACTGTTTTTGAAGCATGGGGTAGATAAAGTGCATTCCTCAGTAGTCCTCTGACTTGGAGCTTCAAGCTCCATTTCTTTCCTTCCTTCCTTCCTTCCTTCCTTCCTTCCTTCCTTCCTTCCTTCCTTCCTTCCTTCCTTCCTTCCTTCCTTCCTTCCTTCCTTTTCCTCACATTTTTCCATTTTCTTTCCATTGTGAATTTCAAAGCAACCCCTAGGGAGTTCTCATCTGCACTGGGCTGTATTGAGACCTTCTTGGCATGTGAGTTGCCTGAACTGTTTTCTGAAAGGATACTAAGGAGCTAAGCAAGAGGGAATAGAGTGGCACCCTGATGGAGGAATCTCTCCCTATTGAAGGGTGGAATATTTTGAGAGGAAAATATGTTTCCAATGTGTTTTTTCCCCTCTCCACTTTCAGGAGGATGATTTTTTTCCAACTTGGGGGTTAAATGTCCACTGCAAATGTCGTGAAGCAAATTCAGACCTCACCTCATGCCCACACCAAGAAACCTTTCTCATAACAGCATCTCTTTCTCCTCCAGGTGCCCTTTGGAGCAGTGCAGCTTGTTCGAGACTGGCTGCAGATAAGCGGACAGGTGTCTCGGCCAGCGTGCGAACACCCAAAGAGGCCCATCCGTGGCTTGGAGTGCCCCCATATGGAGGTGAGCGGAGCCCGCTTCTGGGGCTTCTTCCGCTCTGTGTGCACCAAGCCTGAAAAGTTCTTCCAACGCTGCTTTGTACACAACCATTGCCCGCTGCTCTTTATCAATCAAAGCGGGCGCAATCTGACACCGGCTGACCTGCCGGCTGCTCAGCGTGAACAGCTTCTTCAGATATGTGATGATGCCCTGTGTGAAGCTGTGAAATTATTGGGTGTTGCAACAGTCATTGGGATTGGACGCTTTGCTGAACAGCGTGCCCGCAAGGCTCTGTCAGCCGCTGGTATTCCGGTATGCGTGGAGGGGGTGATGCATCCGTCCCCTCGCAATCCCAAAGCGAACAAAGGCTGGGATGCCATCATCCGAGCAAAACTGGAAGAGCTAGGCTTGATGGCTCTCATCGCGGACTAACTGAGAATTCCATGTTCAAGAAAGCAAAGAGCTCTTGCTTGGGTTCTCATGACTTCTGGATAATGGATCGGAAGCATTAATTCTTCTACTGGGCTCGTTGATTTGGCTTAAGAATCTTCTAGCCTTAGATCTACATATTTTTTACGCTTTTACTTTCACTACTCTTATATACATACATACATACATACATACACACACATACACATATTTTCCTTGGTGCTAACACTTGTTTAGGCAGCTGTATTCAGCTGGCTATCTGTGTCTTCGTATACTTCACAGTAGCTATTCATGTTGCAGTTTTGTGCAACAATATTCCAGTTGAGATTTTGCCTAGATCTTTGCCCTTTTGGAATGGCATGGCTCCTTAACACTACTTATGCTGATGGGCTACCAATTGAGTTAGCCCAGTATTGTCTATTCCACTTACATCTCTTTAAAGCCTAGATATGCTCAGTTTTTTTATATACAGAGCAGAAGCTCTGACCCAGAGCCAAAGTGTGCCTCATGGCAACTGTGAGAACTACCTTCTCCTCATTGCTTTTAATGCTGCTGTAATTCACCGTTGCATATCAGAGGAAGAACTAAGTGGGTTCTAGAACACTAGGAAAGTTCTAATTAGAAGTAGGAGGAATAAGAACTGTGATTCTGTATGTTTCTGCATTACTGTATCCTTTGACATGAGCAGTTCACATCTGGTTCCTTTCTATCTTTTGATCTGTGGATTTTTGGGAAAGGAACAAAGAAAAGGAAAGGGTAAGGAAAGAATGCTCCCCTCCTTCTCTTCAGTTCTTGGTTTTGTTTTGTTTTTAATTAAAAATTGCAACTAGCTACTCTTAGCCAACTGCTGAGTAAGAAGCAGCAGCGTTTCTGAAAATATCTATTCAGGAAGTGGAAGGAACAATGCAGGTGTATTCCATGTAGACCAAGTTATCTTGCAGTCTTCTCAACTGCCTGCAATACGATGTGTATGGGGGAAACTAATTGTAGAAACACTCCTTTACTGTTGCTGTATGAAGTAGGCTTGGATTAAACACTGTCTGAACATGGGAGTTTTGGTGCTTTCTGAGTTTTCTTGCAGACAGTTCATTACCAATTATTCAACTAGGTAACATTATCAGTGCACTGATGATGTTACCTGGTAGGGTAATTGGGTAATGAAATGTTTACAAAAAATAAATCCAACCAAGCTCAGAAAGTACCAAGGATATCACAGTTCAACCGTAAGCTACAAATATTCTCTTCTATCCATACTGCCTCAATGTGGCTACTCTGCTTTTGCGTGTAGCCCCATCACTAAAGCCCAACAAAATGGATATGTTGAGCATGTGAATGGAATTTGATCATTACGGAGTTGAACTTGGTTCAGAAGCAAGCCAACTCTGCCACTCAACCTACATTTCTTGTGCTATTCTGTGTAAGTTACATATTTCCTTATATCAAGCTTGACTTCTAGTTTTCTTTGTAATAACGCACAAGCAGTTTTTCTTTGTTTTCTTCCAGGATTAAAAAAAAAAAAAATCCTAGTCTGACATCCTTCGATTTTCATGTCACCTCTTAGCCAGCTACTAATCTTAGTTCATTTCTATTTAGGTTTATTTGGTTCTTTCTCAATTAGCAATTTCACTAGGTATTGCTATCTGCCGTGACTTTAGGTGTTTATTATTTAAAAGCTGGGCATATCCGCAATACAACAATCCATCTGTGGCTTTGAGGAGCCATATAAATAGATAAGAATGCATTATTTTAGGCCAGTCTGGAATATTTAAAATAATGGTGTATTATTTATTTTTTTAAAGAAAATTTTATTGATTTTCTAGTTTTACATTTAAATATTTGAAAAGCAATATGGTGGCTGAATTGATCAATAATTCAATAACAAACAAATATCTTTAGTACAGGTCTCAAACTATTACATTAAATATTTCCTCTCTTTTCCCCTTGGTATTTACTGTCTCATATTTTAAACTAATACAATTCTTATTATATCGATTAAATAAAAATAACTTTCTTACGTTTATCAATAATTTTTAGTTTATACATATCTTAGTTATTTTAACATTCAGTCTTTTAGACAATCAATGTCCTAGTTAGTTTTTCCCAATTTTAGTTTCCCATTAATATTTAAATTTAACATTTATAATTTCCAAGTTTTAAATAGCCCCAATTCCCTTTATCACAATTCATCACAAGATCTAATGTTCAGGATACATGTCTTATCTATTTGAATTCTCACCATCTTACATCAACTAATTAATAATACAATATAACATTCTTATTTTCTGGTAATTTCCAAATATCTTAAATTTAGTAATCAAAATTTCTCTTATTTCAACATTTAATACTTCCTCTCTTTTTAATATCTACTATCTCATATTTAAGCTAGTAATTGGTGCATTATTTTTGAGCCCTTTTCCTTTAGTAGCCTCCAAGTCAAAAATACGATGATAGTGCTATCACATAGCCAATAGAATGGATTACAGTACTAGTGATTTTGCTGATTTGAGAAGTGAGTGGTAGGGCATATGTATTGTGAATGAAAGGATCCTGATATCATTTGGGGCAGGTCCAGGGAGATGATGTTAGCCAGGCTAGATGCACTAGCAGCAGGGCCGCCCACTCAAAATCTGGATCACATTTAAAGTAAAGAAGGTATTCTTAATCAAGAAAAGAACACTCGTGGGATGAAATAACATCTCACCCTTGCCTCAAATGAACAGAAAAATAGATAGTCCTTGACTTACAACCACAACCAAGTGAGATGGTTGTTAAGCGAGTCTTGCCCCATTTTACAACCTTTCTTGCCATGGTTGTTAAGTGAATCACTGCAGCTATGAAATTAGGTACCCGGTTAAGCGAATCTGGCTTCCCCATTGACTTTGCTTGTCAGAAGATTGTGAAAGGGGATCACTGTTATAAATATGAACCAGTTGCAAAGCAACTGAATGTTGATCATGTGAACATGCTGCAATGGTCCTAAGTGTGTAAAACAGTCATTAGTCACTTTTTTCAGTACTGTTGTAATTTCAAATGGTCACTAAATGAACTGTTGTAAGTTGAGGTGTATCTGTACTTACAGTGAACTCAGTTGGACAAAAATGATTGGAGAAGCTATGGAACCCTTGCTTCCTTTACCCAAGCAGTTATTACCCTCTGTATAAAAAAATCTTGTGCCATATCAGAAGGGCAACCTAGGTTTAAATAAAGATCTGCTGTTACTGTATTTATTTGACCTTAGGAAAGAAGAAGACATTGCTTTTACTGAGATATTGCCAATGGCTTCCAAATGTACTAAATTAATAGAGTAGTATTTAGTGGTCTGTTTGAAGATATACTTCCTTTTCAGTTGAAACTACTGAATTCCATCTGCATTTATTTTAGCTTTTGCATTTGTTCTCTCCTACCTGTCCTCCTTCAGATCCGGCTGAATACTGATTCAATAACCTTTATTTAGCATTGGCCAACAAGATTTGGGAAAGGCCACTGTTTCCCTATCTTTCTTCTAACTAACAGTAATACTGATTCTAAACACTGCATTGCACACAGATTTGAGGTCTTCCCATTTGTATCTGTAGCTAATCAATATGGCTTCTCTACTAGGAATAACAATCGTAACTTAAGAATCTTAAGAGTTAAGATGCTTAATAACTTAAGCATCTGGATCTTCTGTAGAACTGCTGGGGTTTTTTTCATGCTATTTTCAGTCCAGATTACTTTTGGCACATTCCTACGATGGAGAATATTAGCGGGTTACTGTGGGGAGGAATAATCTGCATTATTATTGTGAATTATGCATTGCTATGATGAAAAATGTCAAATAAGATGCTACTTTGGAACCCTGAATGGTATTTGCTTCTCTTAACTATTAGTAGGTAGTGATTACCTACTCAAAAAGAAAAATTATACTCATTTACTGTTTACTGGAATGTATTATGGTTAATTAATAATGCACCCATTTTATTTCTAACATTGATGTAACCAGCTAAGAGTCTTATTTTGGGGGGCAGGAGGAGTGATTGACAGCTGATAAAATGCAGCTGTCTCCATTGTGGAACAGAAGCCATTCAGGCCCGGATCTGCTGCGGTGCAGAGGAGATGGCTACCAGTGTTGTTACAGCACTGACACTTGAGGACAGGTTTTTCCATTGGGGTGAAAATCCTACTTCACCCCAACTTGTCCCTTGGTCTTCCTCCACTGCCCAGAACTACTTAGCTGTATTGCACGATTTCATAGTTGTGCATTTTTAAAACAAATTGTTGCCTTTTTTTGTAGCTCATATTTTCTTTGATTTCTTTGTCTTGCAGAGGGTAAAAATTCAGCACAAATTAATGTATATGTATGTGGGGGGAAGGACTGTTTTCTGCCTACTTTGATGGAGTCAGGTGAGGATGGATGTTACATGGTGGTTTGAAAGCAGGCACCCATGTTTTCCAACAAGTCTTTCTGCTACACAGAAGGAGGATTTAATTGTATCCTCCCTGGATGGGGCTGCATCCAGGGCTAAGTGTTGCTGAATATTGTGAGCATCTGAAGAGGAAAGGGCAGAAAAGCGTATTCTAAAAATCAGCAGGTTACACACACATACACACGAGAGAGAGAGAGAGAGAGAGAGAGAGAGAGAGAGAGAGAGAGAGAGAGAGAGAGAGAGAGAGAGAGAGAGAGAGAGAGAGAGAGAGACCAAGATGGAGTTTGGCAATCCAGAGCACCCTAAGAGCCATGACAGGCTGAGGAATTCTGGGAATTGAAGTCACTAGGTCTTAAAGTTGCCAAGGTTGGACACTCCTGGCCTAGAGCAATGGGTCGCTTTAGCCAACAACTCAAGAGTTCCACGTTTAGGTCAAGATTCTACCCTGCTTTTGCTTGGCAACTGGGATGATCTTGTGCCATCCCCTTCCTATGTTTCATGCTGAGATTGTCTTGCATCTGTTACAGATTTTGAGCCATAATCAGCAGGAAGCAAGCTTGTGCAACCCATAGCGGACAGTCCTGACTCTCATTTTATCCTTTCAGCCACCTGTCACATTGAAAAATGCAGAGTTAGAACAGCTTTAACCAATCCAGCTGTGCCATCTTTGCCTTCTAGTGTGTATTGCTTGAGATAGTATAAGCCTTGTAACATTTTTTTTTTAATGGAAGCTTGCCTGCCATTAGTGAAAAATAAAAAAAAATGGATGGTAAGTCTATCTTATTTTCCTATAGGACAGAAAGAAATCTGCATATGCTTAGAGGTACTGAGCCAGAGGAGCTGAAATTTAGATAAATAGCCAGTACTGAAAGAATAAACATTCTTTATAATAGCTTGCAGGTATGCCTACTATGGCATCTGTCCAACAGGTGGGTTGGTTTTGAGCGGTAAATTCCTTTCTATTTGGTGAGGTTCTCTTTTCTTTTTAAAGGAAGTGGGAAGAACTCTTCATGACTTCCATCCTCATGTTAACATAAAAAAAACCCCAACATTAAAAGATTGTGGTTTATAACCTCTGTTGCCTCAGTGCTTCTATACCTTGGTGACATAAAGAGGTGTCAGAGAGCTCTCCTGCCTCTCTCTAACTTTGAAGTTTCTGCCATCAGACAGGCACCACAATCCTTTGCTTTTAGATGTAATGTGGCCGCTAACCCAATGCTCATTGTACTCTTGATGGTCTAACTCAGTGTTTCTCAACCTTGACAATTTTAAGGCATGTGGACTTCAACTCCCAGAATTCCACAGCCAGCATTGCTGGCTGTGGAATTCTGGGAGTTGAAGTCCACATGCCTTAAAATTGTCAAGGTTGAGAAACACTGGTCTAACTGCCATCAGATCACCAGCACAGAAGTCTGGGCTTCCTTGTAACTCAATCCCCAGCTCCAAGAACAGCTGTTACTATCTCTTATCAGCTTGTTACATATCATCAGAAGGCCTGGGGAACCCACATTGCCTTTGTGCTCGTAGGGAAAGAAGAATTTCATTGGGGATATTCTCCGCAACAGAACTATAGGCATCTGTGCTAGAGAGCAAATGGCGAAATATCTTGTAATACAAACTCCACCCGTTAAGTACTAGTGTGCAATGCTGCAACACAAATAGGAAAGAAGTAGTGTGATATCACAATGTCATTTTGGCACCCTATTTAGAAATGGGCACCCATGAACAATACTCATCTTTCAGTTTGTCAGAATGGCACCCAGAATACAGTTTTATTTTAATCACTCCAAAATTTTGTGATGGATTCCTCTGAACCTAAGCTTTCATATAATAACAAGAGAAAGTTTATAATCCTCATTGTTGGTTGGGTAACACCACTCCATAAATTGTGGAGAACCCTCCATGAATATAGGGGTTTAACTGTAGTTGAAAAGAAGAAAGTGTGGATAAATGATATGGCAAAACCAGGGAATAGTAGAACAGAAGACAAAGAATTGGAGAAGATCATAAAGTATCAAGGTCTGAAAATTGAAGTCGAAAGATTACAGCAGTAATAGTCCCATGGTTAGCAGCAAACTGGATACCTTTGAAAATATCTTGGACAATACTTAGTATATCT